TTTCTGAGATTGTGGATTTGGGGTTTTCATGAGCTGTAAGCCATAATCATCACAATGATGACAAATCACGGCTTGAACTATCTTGCTTTGCATGTAATGAGTCTCATATATTAGTTTCACCTTTTAAGTTGCTGCACTGAAATAAATGAACTTTTGCACAATATTCTAATTTTTCGAGTTTCACCTGTATATATAGTATCAGATCTATGTATGTAAAGGATCGGATCTAAGTATGTAAAGTATCAGATCTAAGTATGTAAAGCATCAGATCTAAGTATGTAAAGTATCAGATCTATGTATGTAAAGCATCAGATCTATGTATGTAAAGTATCAGATCTATGTATGTAAAGCATCAGGTCTATGTACAGTATGTAAAGCATCAGATCTATGTATGTAAAGTATCAGATCTATGTATGTAAAGCATCAGATCTATGTATGTATAGTATCAGATCTATGTATGTAAAGTATCAGATCTAAGTATGTAAAGTATCAGATCTATGTACAGTATGTAAAGGATCAGATCTATGTACAGTATGTAAAGCATCAGATCTAAGTATGTATAGCATCAGATCTATGTATGTAAAGCATCAGATCTAAGTATGTATAGTATCAGATCTATGTATGTATAGCATCAGATCTATGTATGTAAAGTATCAGATCTAAGTATGTAAAGTATCAGATCTATGTACAGTATGTAAATTATCAGATCTATGTACAGTATGTAAAGCATCAGATCTATGTACAGTATGTAAAGTATCAGATCTATGTACAGTATGTAAAGTATCAGATCTATGTATGTAAAGCATCAGATCTATGTATGTAAAGTATCAGATCTAAGTATGTAAAGTATCAGATCTATGTATGTAAAGCATCAGATCTATGTATGTAAAGTATCAGATCTAAGTATGTAAAGTATCAGATCTATGTATTCCTCCCACTGATACCAATGATTTTTTGAGTTTCACCAGTATGCCTTTAAAGTGCACTTTATAAAGAGTTTTGAACAGATGAAAGACCTTTTTTTTTAAAACTTTTTTCTGACCTCCGGAACGGATTAATTGGTTTTCAATGCATTCCTATGGGAAACCGCGTTTCGGTTTCCGAATTTTTCGCAATAAGAAACGTCCCGCAGAACGCATTACATTTGTAAACCAAAGCACGCCTGTATATTACAGTGAATCATAGTTTTCCGTGTATATGTATGTACCATTATTAGGTCTGCATATTTGAGCTGTACTGTCGGAGAGTAGGTGAGTCTTGCAGCCTGAGCTGCATTTTTTTTAAACAATGGAGGGACCTTTTCAGAAAACAATAGCCTGAAGGTGTGCTACAAACATAAGAACATTGCTTGAGCCACAAATGCTTCTATAAAAGGCATCCATATTATTCAGCATTTAAGAAGCTTTAAACCGCTTTGTAGACGCCTCTCTTCTACTGCCGAGTCCAATACCAACCGCAATAGGAATGCTGAGCAGGTAAGCTGTGTGCCTTCCGCGCTTCTCTGCATCTCAAACCTTCACGTGAAACTCCAGGCAAGCAGATTAAAGAAACCCAGCCACCAGCGGGCACAATAGAAATCTCCATTCTTGACACGGAGCTGACACCTTTCTGCTTTTACACAGAGAGAACACAAGTGATAAATAACACGCAACGGGGGCTATTTACTAAAACTGGAGCGTGCAAAATCTGGTGCAGCTCTGCACAGAAACCAATCAGCTTCCGCCTGTGTTCACGTACATGCGGTGCGGTATATCGCATGTGATTCGCACAGGAACCGCACTGCATTCCTGCACAAATTACATGTGATTTGTGTGCGGTGCGATCGGAGCCGTACATTTTGTACGGCTCTAATCGCACTACACCCGCACCAAAATTGCGCAGGACCCTTTTTTTGGGTCCGCACTAGAATCGGATTGCATGGGTATTCACACCTATGCGATCCGATTCTGCATATCGCACCGCGTTTTGCGGAACACCTGTCCTGCACATGGGAAACGAAGGCTGGTCCATGTAGTCTGATCCAATGTAAGAGCTGCTGTAGCTTAACCCCTTCATGCCGGATCATCCCGGCGTGGAGTTCCTGCGCCGGGAGGTGGGCAGGACGGGGTAAGGCTTAGTGTCATGTGGCCAACGTGACTTCACGTCACGGCCGGTTCGCATGATCGGGAATGGTCCCGATTGAAAGAGCAGACCGGCACCTTTCCGTGAGTACCGCACATGTGTGCTGGGAGCGTGCAGGGCGCGCGCTCTCAGCACATATGTTTTTTGTTACATGAACACAAATGTGCGGCCGCTTGGCGTCTAGGCCTAGACGCCGGGAGGCTGCACATTTGCGTGCGGCCGGCGTGAAGGGGTTAAATTGCTAAAAAAAGTTCAAGTTCATGCTGATCCCAATAAAATGGTGTCAGAACACACAGTGCACACACTTGGGTCAGTAGCCAGACCTGAACCTTGTAGCTCTCCTCATTGTGTTAGCATTGTGTCTGCAGTAGCATTTACGTAGGCAGAGCAGAGTAGGGACTGGCCAGAGAGGGATGACTTTGACGCAGTTGGCCAGCTTAAGCATTAATTGCAATATGTGTGAACCAGGGGCGGACTGACAACTCATGGGGACCCCGGGCAATAGGGGATCATGGGGCCCCTGTGTCCTTGCCCAAACTCAAAAAAAACCCTATGAAAAAGGTACCAGGGACATCTCATGGGGCCTCCTACTAGCCCTGGGCTCTCGGGCAGTGCCCGAGTTTCCAAATGGTCAGTCCGCCCCTGATGTGAACTAAATATCCCTATTTATTGCATAGTCTGCTTGAAAGGGTATATACCAGTGTGCAGAGGGCCCTTCAGAATTTCTAGAACACACAGCGCATCGCATTTTGTTGTGTCTGGGGCAATTTAGCCGCTGACCAGTCAGAGTGCCAATGCTGACCGCAGCCAAAAGTGCCTACAATGGATGTGTGATCATCAGAACTGGACCAGGGGCGGACTGACCATTCAAGCACTCGGGCACTGCCCTAGGGCCCGGGGTCAGTAGGGGGCCCCATGAAGTGCCCCTGGTACCTTTTTTATAGGCTTTTTTGGGTGTGCTTTGAGTGTGGGCAAGGACACAGGGGCCCCATGATTTCCTATTGCCCCGGGGGCCCCATGAGTTGTCAGCCCGCCCCTGAACTGGACCATGAAGTAATGGGAGAAGGTGGCCTGGTCTGATGAATTGCATTTTCCTTTTCATCATGTGGATGGCCAGGTGCCTATGTGTTCCTTGCCTGGGGAAGAGATGGCAGCAGGATGCAGTATGGGAAGAAAGCCGGTGTCAGTCAGGGTACTTCATTATTTATTACAGGTACTTATATAGGACCATCAGTTTACACAGCGCTTTACATATATATTATACATTCACATCAGTCCCTAACCCTCAAGGGGCGTACAATCTAAGGTCCCTAACTCACATTCATACATACACATACTAGGGACAATTTAGACAGGAGCCAATTAACCTACCAACCAGGGGTGGACTGACCATTTGGAAACTCAGGCACTGCCCGAGGGCCCGGGGTCAGTAGGAGGCCCCATGAGATGCCCCTGGTACCTTTTTCATAGGCTTTTTTGAGTTTGGGCAAGGACACAGGGGCCCCATGATCCCCTAATTGCCCAGGGGCCCCATGAGTTGTCAGTCCGCCCCTGCTACCAGCATGTCTTTGGAGTGTAGGAGGAAACCGGAGTACCTGGAGTAAACCCACACAGGCACAGGGAGAACATGCCAACTCCATCCAATTAGCGTCCTGGTTAGAATTTGGACCCAGAACCCCGGTGCTGCAAGGAGTACGAAACAACACATAAAGGCAGGGAAATATGGGCAGCACAGTGGCTAAATGGTTAGTACTTCCGCCTGGCAGTACTAGGGTTGTTGGTTCAAATCCCAGCCACAGCGTCACCTGCCTGGAGTTTGCATGTTCTCCCTGTGCCTGTGTGGGTTTCCTCCAGGTACTCCGGTTTCCTCCCACAGTCCAAAGACATGCTGGTAGGTAAACTGTCTCCTGTCTAAATCGGCCCTAATATGTGTATGTAGGAATGGGACTGATGTGAATGTACAATCAGGGGTGGACTGACCATTTGGAAACTCGGGCACTGCCCGAGGGCCCGGGGTCAGTAGGGGGCCCCATGAGATGCCCCTGGTACGTTTTTCATAGGCTTTTTTGAGTTTGGGCAAGGACACAGGGGCCCCATGATCCCCTATTGCCCGGGGGCAAATACCACCAAAATAAAGCTTTAGCTGTCTCAAAAAAATGCTAACAAATTCATATGGGTACAGTGTTGCATGACCGCGCAATTGTCATTCAAAGTGTGATAGTGCTGAAAGCTGAAAATTGGCCTGGACTGGAAGGGGGTGAAAGTGTCCAGACTGGAAGTGGTTAATAGAGGTACTTATATAGCGCCATCAATTTACACAGCACTTTACATATATGTTGTACATTCACATCAGTCCCTAACCCTCAAGGGGTGTACAATCTAAGGTTCCTAACTCACATTCATACATACACATACTAGGGACAATTTAGACAGGAGCCAATTAACCTACCAGCAGATCTTTGGAGTGTGGGAGGAAACCAGAGTACCCAGAGTAAACCCACACAGGCACAGGGAGAACATGCAAACTCCAGGCAGGTGGTGCCGTGGCTGGAATTCGAACCCACGACCCGAGTACTGCCAGGCGGAAGTGCTAACCATTTAGCCACCGTGCTGCCTATGTCATACAAGGACTTCCACAGCCACGGCAGACATTTGCCTCTTGATGGTAAGAGGACTGTCACTTGAACGTTGGTGTCATCTGGTAGTTCGCTTTGTACTTGGAAGTCCAGTGCGCCGCCAATGACAGCCTGTGACAGGGGTGCTCCTGAGTGCCCACATGGACACGCGTGGCGTCGTTTGCTGACACCTGTTATTAGTTTTTGTTTCGTGGTCCTTTTTAAATACTAAAGTCCCTCTTCATGTCTCTTCTCCGCTCGCAGGTATTCGGTGGGTGATGCCTTCCGCAACGAATGTCAGATCCTGAACAGTCATCTCTCAGAACTGAGGACCACCACAGATAACAGACTGGTATGCCCCCCCCCCTCCTCGTTCCCCTCGATTTAGTCTCCTAACGTTGGTCCCCTCTCCCCCCCCCCCCCCCCCCCGGCCAGAGATCACAGCACTGCGGAACGATTGGATTTTTAATTAAAAAGCGCTGTGTTCGCTGCTCGTGTTGCAGGCTGAAGACAAAAGCTTGTTAATAGAATTTGTAGTATAATTAATCTCATAAGGCTACAGACTTCCTGCTTTTGCAGAAGGACAGAAATACTGAAGGGTGATAGAACGGGCCGTGTAGGAGACGCCGCTCACAATTCACCGCTCATTGCTGGTGCTGCAGGGCACTGAAATTGGGTTGCTTTTGTTAATTGCATTTTCCACAGGATCATAATCACCGTGTTGGAAAGTAGATTGAGGGAGTAAAAAATGTTTATGTTATTTTTAGGCTGGCTTTGCCGAGTGCGCGCCAGTGGAAAACTGGCTTCTGTTAAAGATGAACTCCAGTGACATATAAATTACATGGATTAGTAGCACTGTATGTAGGAGCAATCTCCAAACTGTGGCCCGGGGCCGGATGTGACCCTTTGCTAGCCTTTATCCAGCCCTTGGAGTGCCATTTCTCCCACTGATATGAGGTACTATTCCTTCCAATGGCAACAGTAAGGCATAATTCCTGTCACTGACACCAATGATGGGGCACTATTCCTCCCACTGACACCAATGATGGGGAACTATTCCTCCCACTGACACCAATGATGGGGAACTATTCCTCCCACTGATACCAATCATGGCCATTATTCCTCCCACTGACACCAATGATGGGGCACTATTCCTCCCACTGACACCAATGATGGGGCGCTATTCCTCCCACTGATACCAATGATGGGGCACTATTCCCCCCCACTAATACCAATGATGGGGCACTATTCCTCCCACTGATACCAATGATGGGGCACTATTCCTCCCACTGATACCAATGATGAGGCACTATTCCTCCCACTGACACCAATGATGGGGCACTATTCCTCCCACTGACACCAATGATGAGGCACTATTCCTCCCACTGATACCAATGATGGAGGCACTACCTCCCACTGACACCTATGATGGGACACTATTCCTCCCACTGACACCAATGATGGGGCGCTATTCCTCCCACTGATACCAATGATGGGCCACCACTCCTCCTCCTACTGATCACAGGCAATATGTAACTGACTACTAACCCCGAGGAAATGTTTATTCTCACTGATGCTGGGCCCAGGACATTTTTCATCCCCATTGGCCACAATCTGGCCCCCCTAAAGTCTGAAGAAGAGTAAACTGGCCCTTTGTTTTAAACGTTTGGAGACCCCTGGTCTACAGTTATATATAATTAAATGTACTGTACTTTTTAGATACAAGCAATAAAGTTCCTTAAGTATCACAAAAACCTCTTGCAGTCCCTGTACAGCAGAGCTAAGGTAGGGGGGAGGAAGAACTGGCACATGGAATCAGTCAGCTGTATTGCAGTGCAAGAAACATGCTGATAGAAGTTGAAAACAACAGAGAGATGCATTCACCAATTTGAAGGTGGGGAGGAGACCTGTAAGTTAAAGTGAAACTGCAGCAGAGAAGAATAAGATTCACAGTATCTCCCAGAAGTGAGTCCCCCCTCCCCCGGACTGTATACAATGTATGTATATATATATATATATATATATACACAGTATCTCCCAGAAGTGAGTCCCCCCTCCCCTGGACTGTATACAATGTATGTATATATATATATATATACAGTATCTCCCAAAAGTGAGTCCACCCCTCACATTTTTGTAAATATTTGATTCTATCTTTTCATGTGACAACACTGAAGAAATGACACTTTGCTACAATGTGACGTAGTCAGTGTACAGCTTGTAGAACAATAAATTTGCTGTCCCCTCAAAATAACTCAACACACCGTCATTAATGTCTAAACCGCTGGCAACAACAGTGACTCCACCCCTAAGTGACAAGGTCCAAATTGGGCCCAATTAGCCGTTTTCCCTCCCCGGTGTCATGTGACTCGTTAGTGTTACAAGGTCTCAGGTGTGAATGGGGAGTGGGTGTGTTACATTGGGTGTTATCGCTCTCAATCTCTCATACTGGTCACTGGAAGTTCAGCATGGCACCTCATGGCAAAGAACTTTCTGAGGATCTGAAAAAATGAATTGTTGCTCTACATAAAGATGGCCGAGGCTATAAGAAGATTGCCAAGACCCTGAAACTGAGCTGCAGCACGGTAGCCAAGACCATACAGCGGTTTAACAGGACAGGTTCCACACAGAACAGGCTTGTAATGGTCGACCAAAGAAGTTGAGTGCTCATGCTCAGCGTCATATCCAGAGGTTGTCTTTGGGAAATAGACATATGAGTGCTGCCAGCATTGCTGCAGAGGGTGAAGGGGTCGGGGGTCAGCCTGTCAGTGCTCAGACCATACGCCGCACACTGCATCATGTTGGTCTGCATGGCTGTCGTCCCAGAAGGAACAGGACAGGTTCCACTCAGAGTGTCATTTCTTAAGTGTTGTCACATGAAAATATAGAATAAAATATTTTAAAAAAATGTGAGGGGTGTACTCACTTCTGTGACACACTGTATGTGTGTATATATATATAGATATATATATATATATGACAAACTGAATATATTATATAAATATATGCCTGAAATTCTGTATTAAATAATTGACTGTATGGTCAATTATTGCATGGAGTCAAGAATAACTTTCCTATTCTGCTTTGTGCTTGTACATTGAATATAACTATTCAAGTATGACTGTACATGAAACCTTTTTTTTTTAATTTCTTTGTATTAAATGGAATGATGAGGAATGAATTCTGGCTGCTGCCACTGTTTGGCTTCACCATCTTGTGAGTCAGTGAATGACACCAAGCATCTAGCCTTTGATGTGGGAATTCCTAACCTGCATAGTATATTTTCCTCTCCCATTTCCTGTTGCCTCTCCGAGACACGATGGAAGGAGACAGATCTCCATATGGGACATAGAGAGCAATAAAGTAACCGAGGTTCTAACCTTTCCCTTCTCTATGCACATTAGTGTTGCTGGAGTTCCACTTTAAGCTAGGCACTTTATATAAATCTAGAAACTTCATAAAAACCCCACTACAGCTTCTGTTTAACAAGACCATAAAAGAGACCACATTGTCTACCCACAAGGAAGAACGTTCAGTCACGGTTGGTGTCGGAGATGGTAATGGTGCTTTCCACGCGGATCCGTGGTCAGTTCAACAACATTTCTAATCCTCCCGTCAACCGAGGTCTGTAAATGAAAAGCCTCTCCTGATCTTTCACTTATTTGCCCTTTTCAGAAGAAATGATGTAACCGGTTCTGCAGTTCATGTGATTAGCAGGGAGAGTTCCTATTAATAGCTGGTTCAAGCTGGTAATACTCATTATATTTATAATGGAGATGCAGCCATCTGAGGAGTGACCTTGTAAGTCACACTGAGATCATTGTACCCCCTGAGTCCAGCTCAGATTTAAACACTACCCCCCCCCCCCTCCTCCATACTATTAACTAATACAATGCATCTTGCCACTGCAAGCCCAACTGGAGGCATTGTGCCCCCTCTCCCCAAACTGACTCTCCCCCTGTGGGTTTTTTTTAAATTTCCTTTTTCTTTTTAGCTGTAAGGGGGTACTTCTCCCACTGACCACTAATCAAGGGGGGTCCTTTTCTGACTGACCACTAATATAAAAGGGGCCTTTCTTCCACTGACCACTAATATAAGGGGGTTCTTCTCCCACTAACCACTAATATAAGGGGGTTCTTCTCCCACTAACCACTAACCACTAATATAAGGGGGTTCTTCTGCCACTAAACCACTAATATAAGGGGGTTCTTCTCCCACTAACCACTAATATAAGGGGGTTCTTCTCTAACCACCACTAACACATATAATATAAGGGGGTTCTTCTGCCACTAACCACTAATATAAGGGGGGTTCTTCTCCCACTAAGGGGGTTCTTCACCACTAACCACTAATATAAGGGGGTTCTTCTCCCACTAACCACTAATATAAGGGGGTTCTTCTCCCACTAACCATTAATATAAGGGGGTTCTTCTCCCACTAACCACTAATATAAGGGGGTTCTTCTCCCACTAACCACTAATATAAGGGGGTTCTTTCTCCCACTAACACACCATAATATAAGGGGGTTCTTCTAACCACCACTAACCATTAATATAAGGGGGTTCTTCTCCCACTAACCACTAATATAAGGGGGTTCTTCTGCCACTAACCACTAATATAAGGGGGTTATTCTCCCCTGACCACTAATATAGGAAGGTCCATCTCCCACTGACATCTAAAAGAATTTGTCATTTTCTTGCTCTCCACTAATATCATTGGTCCTTCTATCATTGACCACTGAGAAAAGGGGATCCTTTTCCTACTGACCACTAATATAAGGGCGTTCTTTCCCATTGATCATGACTATAAATGGGTCCTTCTCCCACTTAGCACCAGTGGACAATGGCACTTTTCCTATGACCACCAACATAAGAGGACATTTCTCCACTAAACACCAATGTTTGGGGGTACTACAATTTTTATTATTTGTTATTTGTAATACCTTAGCAGGTTCCATGAAACCTAAAAAATATTTCAAGGGTTCCTCTGTGTTGAAAATAGGTTGAGAAAGACTGAGCTGGAGGACGCTGGACGCCCTCCAGCCAGGAAATGAGGCGGGGCTCTATCTGACTTTCTGCAGCTTCTAATGAACATTTTGAGAAGCTCACAGTGTGCAGTAAAATCAGAGGAAGCCATTTCAGTCCAGGAGGGGAGCCGGTCAGTGGTGCATTTAGGTTTTGTGCTGCCCTAGGCACAAAAATTGGCGCCCCCCCTCTTCCCGCAGAAAGAGCCTGACATTGACAAAGAACACCCCTGCCCTCCACCCAAGCCTTCCACTACCACTGCCCCCTCCATACACCAGCCACCATCCCCCATGAGAGAGAGAAAGACACTCACCTTCAGAGCTCTGGACATCCCCAGGAACGAGAGTCGGGCTGTGCATACACCGTCATGAAACCCACAGCATCTCTTGGAACCCACCAGGTCCTCGTGCCGTTCTTCCGCCCCTTCCTCCAAGGAGCAGTGCTGCCCTCCCTGAAAAATGCCGCCCTAGGCAAATGCCTTGTTTGCCTTGTAGTAAATACACCCCTGGAGCCGGTACAACTGTGCAAAACTGAAGGAAGTCCGGAGTTCACCCTTAACTTGGCTGCTCAAGAGGCAAAGAGTTATTAGTGATAGGCTCTGAGAATTTATTTACATAGTGCTTAGTGTATAAATCAAGATTAATAGCCTTCTAGAGCCAAGGCCCTCATGTGTTCCAGATCTCTGCAGCGACCTCATCTAACACCTCTTCTCTCTGAGCTCTGTACAGAATTTCAGTCTAAACATCTGAATGAGCCCCAGAGAGATCTGCTGCACAGATGCTATAAATATTTGATTGATGGAGAATCTCTCCGAACGCTGTGCTGCGGTTACTGCTGCGGTGATCTCCGCATTGTTTGGTGATAGACATCACGGGTTGGCCGGAGTCGGTAACTAATAATAAACATTGCAATGTTGTAGAGGCAAACGCTGTACACCGTGTGCCAAGAATGGTTCCGGGTCTCCAGCCAGAAGTCGTCCTCCCCGGATCCGGTATCTGTTTATCTGGACGAGTTCAGATCGATCAGCCCCCAGCTGCTGCAGATGGTGGTCAACATCGCCGACGAGAACGGCAACACCGCTATGCATTACAGCGTATCGCATTCCAACTTCGGCATCGTCCGGCTCCTACTGGACACAGGTGAGACTCATTGTCCTCCATGTTATTAAAGTCAACCGGCCATTTTCAGTGGCACAGATATAAAGTTACGCCAGTTATAGTATACTATTTATTTCACTGTTCTACTGATAGAAGGTGGACATAGCTACAACTCCTACCCAAATACCACCCAACCCGTACTCTTCGCTCCTCACAAGACCTCCTACTTTCTAGCTCCCTGGTCTCCTCCTCCCACGCCCGACTTCAGGACTTCTCCAGGACTTCCCCCATCCTCTGGAACTCTCTACCCCAATCCATCAGACTGTCACCTACCCTCCTCACCTTCAGGCGCACCCTGAAAACCCATCTCTTCAGGGAAGTCTACCCCACTCTCACCTAACAGTCGATCTCCTCCACTCCTCCTACCACTCCATCCCCGACAGCCACTTCCTCCTGTGCCACTATCCCCTCCCTCCTAGATTGTAAGCTCCAAGGAGCAGGGCCTTCGAACCCCTCGTGTATTGTTTTGTTACTGTCTTGTCATGTACTGTCCCCCACTATAATGTAAAGCGCTGAGCAAACCTTTTGGCGCTATATACCGTATTTTTCGTTCCATAAGACGCACTTTTTTCCCCCCAAAAAGGGGGGAAAATGTCGGTGCGTCTTATGGAACGAATATGGAGCGGCCGGTCCGGTATTTCCACCGCCGCCGTGTCAGAATACCGGGCCGGCCACTCAGCTCTACAGCGGGACTTTATGGAGATGACTGCTGACCTTTGGGGAGGTGGGGAGCGGGTACCTGAATTTGACAGGTACCCGCTCTTACTTCTGCAGAGTTGTTCTTTGATCTTACCTGTTCCTCTATCCAGCGGCGCGCTGTCTTCCCGGCTTGTGTAGTGCGGGCGCTGGGCTTGACAGCCGGGTGCCAAGTGCGCATGCGCAAGAAGTGGTGCTTTTTGTGAATGGTAAGGCAGTACCTGGGACACATGACAGATCCCAGAAGCCGCAGCCGCTGGACCAATCACAAAGCGCAAGTGCTTCTCGCTCATGCGCACTGGGCACCCGGCTGTCATGCCGAGCGCCATTACAGAAGCCGGGAAGACAGCGCGCGGCTGGATCGAGGAACAGGTAAAATCAAAGAACAACTCCGCGGAAGTAAGAGCAGGTACATGTCAAATTCAGGTACCCGCTCCCCACCTCCCCAAAGGTCAACAGTCATCTCTGTACTGTCCGCAGTCTCTGGTCATCCCTGTGCTGTCCGCAGTCTCTGGTCATCCCTGTGCTGACCGCAGTCTCTGGTCATCCCTGTGCTGTCCGCAGTCTCTGGTCATCCCTGTGCTGTCCGCAGTCTCTGGTCATCCCTGTACTGTGTCCGCAGTCTCTGGTCATCCCTGTGCTGTCCGCAGTCTCTGGTCATCTCCTGTACTATGTCTGCAGTCCATTAGTTCAGAATTTTTTTTTCCTGTCTTCTGCCTCTAAAACCTAGGGTGCGTCTTATGGTCAGGTGCGTCTTATGGAGCGAAAAATACGGTAAATACTGTATAATAATAATAATAACCCTTAAAACCAAGTGCCCTCACCTTCTTTATGATGAGATTACTGCCCAACACACTGGGGTTGATTGACTAAAACTGGAGGGTGCAAAATCTGGTGCCGCTCTGCATAGAAACCAATCAGCTTCCAGGTTTTATTGTTAAAGCTTAACTGAACAAGCTGAAATTAGAAGCTGATTGGCCGCCATGCACAGGTGCACCAGGATCTGAGCGCTCCAGTTTAGTAAATCTCTCCCACTGTGTTGGAACCCTGCCCAGTTCATGGCACCGCCAAGATCTTGGTATAAAGCTTAGGGTAAGGATATATGTTCCAGAAAGTGTAATTAACCCCTTCCCGCCGGCGCCTCCCGGCCCTTTAAGAGTTCTGGGAGGCGGGATGGGCGGGGTTTAGGGATCATGTGACCGCCGTAACGTGTCATCACGGCGGTCACATGATCTGGAAAGGTCTCGATCAAAAGATCAGACCGGGACCTTTCTGTGAGTTCCGGACATGTGTGCTGGGAGTGCCCAGGGTGCACGCTCTCAGCATATATGTTTTTGGTTAATTGCACGCAAATGTGCGGCCGCTCGACGTCTAGGCCCAGACTCTGGGAGGCCGCACATTTGTGTGCTGCCGGCGTGAAGAGGTTAAGTGTGCACGTGCCCTTTAAATTAGATGTAAAACCTTAACTGGATGACCTTTCAGTTTGCTGAAGCACTGGGTATCAACAGTTTCCAAACCTTTTTCTGCAATATCTGTTTTCACCTTTTTTACTTCCTTCTTGGTATCTTTTTGCTGCTTATCTCCTCCTCCATCAGTCACTATTTTTCTATATGGGCAGCACAGTGGCTAAATGGTTAGCACTTCCGCCTGGCAGTACTAGGATCGTTGGTTCGAATCCCAGCCATGGCACCTCCTGACTGGAATTTGCATGTTTTCCCTGTGCCTGTGTGGTTTCCTCCGGGTATTCTGGTTTCCTCCCACACTCCAAAGACATGCTGGTAGGTGAATTGGCTCCTGACTCAATTGGCCCTAGTATGTGATATAAATAGATATGCAGTGCTAAGAAATAATATATTCAAAATGTTGATATATAAAAAGATATAAGTGGGCACAAATGGTAGTGCAGGATTAGTGCAGTGGTGGCAACGTGTAATAGCGATGCGTAAGTCTATAATAAACCAAATGATAGAGAGATGGTGATGGTGATGGTGAGCCCAATCACAGAGTGGTAGAGTTCATCAAATATAGTGCTCCTGTGTTCCATGCCTTTTGATTTCTGATGACAAAATCCGGTACAATAATGCACTTACCAGAAGTACATATAATGAGAGCATTATATGTATATCATATATGCGGTGTCATCCAGGTCTGGACTAGGGTTGTGGGGTCATCAGGCTCAACAGTGGGCTCTCAGAGAAGCGATTCATCCAATCACACTGTATTGGATACCTAGGTACCTTACCGGCGAGTATGAATACAGATACCTAGGTTCTTACCGGCGAGTATGAATACCGATACCTAGGTTCTTACCGGCGAGTATGAATACCGATACCTAGGTTCTTACCGGCGAGTATGAATACCGACACCTAGGTTCTTACCGGCGAGTATGAATACCGATACCTAGGTTCTTACTGGCGAGTATGAATACAGATACCTAGGTTCTTACCGGCGAGTATGAATACCGATACCTAGGTTCTTACCGGCGAGTATGAATACCGATACATAGGTTTTTACCGGCGAGTATGAATACCGATACATAGGTTGTTACCAGCGAGTATGAATACCGATACCTAGGTTGTTACCGGCGAGTATGAATACAGATACCTAGGTTTTTATTGGTGAGTATGAATACCGATACCTAGATTGTTACCGGAGAGTATGAATACCGATACCTAGGTTTTTACCGGCGAGTATGAATACCGATACCTAGGTTCTTACCAGAGAGTATGAATACCGATACCTAGGTTCTTACCGGAGAGTATGAATACCGATACCTAGGTTCTTACCGGCGAGTATGAATACCGATACCTAGGTTCTTACCGGAGAGTATGAATACCGATACCTAGGTTCTTACCGGAGAGTATGAATACCGATACTTGTACTTAAGTACTCACCGATACCAATTAGCGATATCTTTGTAGTGCAATATGAGCCCATACAAAATGAGAGCTCAAATTGCACTGCAAAGAATTGCATGAGATTAAAATTAAAGGTTCTGTTTTTTTTGGTAGCGGTAGGATAAGCTTCCCTGAAGTGATTATTTTTTTTAGGGATCACCTAGAGGTGGACAGAGTAGGAGATTGCCAGATGGATTGGAGTAGGGAGTTCCAGAGTATGGGAGAGACTCTGGAGAAGTTCTGGAGGGGAGTTGAATTAGAGAGCCTTTATTATCATTGTACAAACTCATATTTACACACACATACAAATACTAGGGCCAATTAACCTACCAGCATGTCTTTGGAGTGTGGGAGGAAACCGGAGTACCTGGAGGAAACCCACGCAAGCACAGGGAGAACATGCAAACTCCATGTTGTGGTTGGGATTCCCACCAACGACCCTAGTACTGCTAGATGGAAGTGCTAACCGCTTAGCCACTGTGCTGCTCACATCTACGGAGCAGCAGTACACCCTAGGACAGGAAGTATGTTAGAACCTGGGATACACCGATAGGTTTTTACCAGTGAGTATGAATACCAATACCTACGTTTTCACCAGTTAGCATGAATACCGATACCTAGTTTCTTACCGGCGAGTATGAATACTGATACCTAGGTTCTTATCGGCGAGTATCGGTATTCATACTCGCCGGTGAGAACCTAGGTATTGGTATTCATACTCGCAGGTAAAAACGTAGGTATCGGTATTCATACTCACCGGTGAGAACCTAGGTATCGGTATTCATACTCGCCGGTGAAAACTTAGGTATCGGTATTCATACTCGCCGATAAAAACCTAGGTATCGGTATTCATACTCGCCAATAAAACAGGTATCGGTATCGGTAGAAACTTAGGTATTCATTCATACTCGCCGGTGAGAACCTAGGTATTGGTATTCATACTCGCAGGTAAAAACGTAGGTATCGGTATTCATACTCACCGGTAAAAACCTAGGTATCGGTATTCATACTCGCCGATAAGAACTTAGGTATCGGTATTCATACTCGCCGGTAAGAACCTAGGTATCGGTATTCATACTCGCCGGTGAAAACTTAGGTATCAGTATTCATACTCGCCGGTAAGAACCTAGGTATCGGCATTCATACTCACCGGTGAAAACCTAGGTATCGGTATCGGTACTCGCCAAGATCATCCAGCAAATTTATTCAGGTAACAAAAAAACCCCCGTTAAAACCGCACTCACAATGAGTATATAATTACACAGCGCTTGTTAATACTCAGAGCTACAAGCTCTGTCTCCAGCGTCTCACCAGCCTGACTGCACTCAAGATGGCGATGGCGGGTGTTCTGTGCACTGGATATCACATTGGTGATGGAGGATCTCATTA